ACGTTCGTCTTACGTCTCTTCTCTCTTAACAGAGAGGAAAAGAGAGGGAGAGAGGAAGAGAAAAAGAGAAAAAGAAAGGGAGGAAGAGATACTTTTAATAATTTTGTTTTTTACTTCTTTTTTTTTTCCTCGGAGGGATACGTAAGAGAAAGGAACACATATAAAAAAAAAAAAAAAAAAAAAAAAGAAACATTCAGATACGTATTTATATGTATGTACCCATATACGTGTTTATGTTAGGTATATGTATGCTTGTATTTTTCTGTTGTTGTCGAATGATAAGAACTTTATGATCACGATAGCTCGAAATTTGGCGAGGTTTGCGATGCTCCAAATCGATTCGAGCTCCTTTTCGACATGTAATAAAAAGAAAGAGACAGACAGATAGACAGAGACAGAGAGAGAAAGAGAGAGAGGCGGCGGGGGGAGAGAAAGAGAGATCGTGAGGATGATAATAATTCGACGGCGTGTAAATACGCGGCATGCTATTTCGGGAGACGTCGTCCCGGGGGACGATTATATTTACAAACTATACGCCTAATTTCCCTCATCTTCCTTTTTTTTTTCTTTTTTTTTTCTTCTCTTGCTTTATTTATTTATTTCTTTTTTCTTCGTTTTACAAATGTAAATTCTTCTTCTTCTTCTTCTTCTTCTTCTTCTTCTTCGTCGCAATTTTCCTTTTCACGTTAACGTTTATAGTCAATGTTATATCGTGAAATAAAATATAGAAGAAAAAAAAAAAAAAAAAAAAAACATGCATTGCACTCTATAAAATCGTTTCATTCTTTAATCGATATCATTTAATATATGATATATTATTAACGTTTCTATCGTAATTCGCGTCATCGATCGTTTATTTTGAAAGAAACGTCTTCGTATAAAACGTTTATTTCCATTTTCTCTTTTGAATTATTCTCAATAAGATGCTTTTATTAGATTAGTTTTAATCGATTAATTAGTTTATCCAAAAGACTTTAACAAACATCTGACGTTAATGATTACTACAACTGAAGATACTGAAGAAGGAGAAATGGACGATCACGTTTAACACGTGTACACAGCACGAGAGTTAGCATAATGCATTTCTATTTAATAAATACGCAACTACTATACACCCTATTTCAATGATTTTGATAAGATCGGCGTCGCCGTTGCAAATGGTATTCCCCCCTTTTCCTTAGAATCGATCTTAACCAATTCAGTTATTTCTAATCGCTCCTAAACGTTTCTGATTTTCCTCGAGACGATCACGCGATCACAACAATTTATCGTATTGAAATTTTTTTATTCGTTCATCGAATCGATATTAGTCATCATATTAATTCAACATCAATTTAGCTCACATATTGATAATCTTTTAACAAATCAATGATTATTTTTATTTCTATTTCTAATTTCTAATTTTCATTGTAAACAAATATATATAAAAGTGTACGAAAGATATAAAATAAAAGAAGAAGAAGAAGAAGAAGAAGAGGAAGAGAAAGAGGAAGAAATATTTTCTTATAGAATCCTAATAAAAAATACAACAACAATAATAATAATAATAATAATAATAATAATAATAATAATAATAATAATAATAATAATAATAATAATAATAATAATAAATAAATAAATAAATAAGCAAATAGAAGAAAAAATATTTTTAACAAATGGAATTAACGTCAAAGCATTATTGGGATACCGAAATGGAAATACAATTAAATAGGATAAGAAGAGAGATTTTAGGATAGAACGGAATTAAAGGGAGGAAAAGTTTGATCGACAAACCGATCGTTAAATTCGACGATGAACGAAATTAAATCTATGAGTTCTCAAGCTCGCTAGTGGTTGCTAATCGCGCTAAAATCATTTAACCTCGCCTCGAGTAACATTAATAATAAATCGTCTTTGGTCTCGGGGTAGCTTCGATTTTCCTTCCTTCCCTTGTCCGATTCTATTCTATTCTTTCTCTCTTTCTTTCTCTCTCTCTCTCTCTCTCTCTCTCTCTCTCTCTCTGTCTCTCTCTCTCTATTTCTCGCTCGTACTCTCGTACGAAGAAACTAAAGCGTCGATACGAATCAATTTAGCTCGTCGCGACGACGTAGAGAGATATAAAATAGACGGAAATTTATCCTGGAAGCTGACATGGACGTTCGAAATTGTCTCAAAAATCCCAGAAAAATAATAGAGAAATGAAAAGAGTACTGAAGAGAGATTGGTGAAAAAGATTTTTTTATAAAAATTCTTATATTTTTGTTTCATTATTTTCGTTCTTGTAAAATAATCGAATTATTGGAAAATGCAAAGAAATGCTTAAAAAATTTCAACTTCAATTTATCTCTCTCTCTATCGTCTCTATCTCTTTTTCAACGTCTGGTCGATAATTTTAAAAGCAGATGTAAAACTCGTTGACTTATTTTATTAATTTATTGTCACAAAAGACGGATTGCAAGTCGTTCAGGCGTACAGTCAGGAATAATGTTTGATGTCAACTATAATGAGAAATGTTTCCTTCCAAATCTTTAAAAATAACTTAACATTCTAATGCAAATGTTTATTCATATTATCATCTTCATCATTGTTATTAATGTAAAAGCTTCAATACAAAATATTAAAAATTTGATATAAAGCTTTAATTTTATGTTTGTAATTTTTACAAAATTCTTATTATTTTAATCCAATTCAAATGAAATTTATATAATATAATTATATAATTCCTCTTTATGATTTGACGAAAAGTTTAAACTACTTAACATTGCGGAGATATTAGTCACAAAACAGCTAACAAGACTTTAAACGAGCGAAAACGAAAGAGAGAGAGGAGAAAATTGTGAAATTGGTTACATTAGAATTGCATTCATTGAATGATTTTTGATCTTGACATATTACTTCAAGAAAAAAAAAACAGAAAGAAAAAAAACAAAAAAAAAAAGAAAAAAGAAAGAAAAAATACAAAAAAGAATGCAAAAAGATATTTTCGTAAGCCATAAATGTCCGTCATGTTTGGCAAGGAAATATATTAGCTAATTTTACGATAAAAATTTAAAAAAATGCAAAAAGAAAAAAAAAGAAAAGAGGAAAAAAATAGAAAGGAAATGAATAAAATAAGGTACCTTAAAAAAAGAAAAGAAAAAAAAAAAAAGAAAAAGAAAATATTGAAAACAGAATCGAGTTCAGACACCTCGTGGAGGAGCAGCATCGATTATTGGAAATCCAGCGATCGATATCTAACCTACGACGAATCGCTTAAGATATTTCTACGAGTCTTTAAATACATTTATATAAGAGAGCAAAGGGAAGTTGGATTCACGTTTTATCAGGATGATCGCTCGTTCGCCGCGAATATGGAAGACGCAACTCGCGATGATTCGCGGTATCAGCAGGAAACGTGTCTGACGTCGAATATATCCAGCGTGTCGTCGCATAGATTTTCATAATCCAACCGTGTAAAAAGAGAGAGAGAGAGAGAGAGAGAGAGAGAGAGAGAGAGAGAGACCAAGAATGTATATACGTGTGTGTGAGTGAGTGAGTGAGTGAGTGAGTGAGTGAGTGAGTGAGTGAGAGAGAGAGAGAGAGAGAGAGAGAGAGAGAGAGATAGGTCAAGTCGCAGCAAGCGCCGAGCGGCAATGTGCACGCATGCATAATGCCAAGCATAACCAAGTGGTTTATTTATAACGTCGCGGAAATACACTCGGTGCCTTTATTGTAAAACGTTGTGTAACGCTCGTTGTGTAACGTAATCAATGATACTCCCCGTTCTGAACGTCTACAAACTTACGTATCCACGTACATACGTGTACATAACCTATGTATTTATGTATGCAAATATGTTCAATGCGTCCGATAGTGAAGATTTCTTCAAATTGCACAAATACGAAAAGGAAAAAAAAAAAAAAAAAAGAAGAATGAAAAAAGAGAGAAAAATAAAGAGAGAAAAAAAAAGACAATGATTAATGGGAATCGATAATTACGTCAAAAATATGCATCCTCAGAAAGATACAAAGATGGAAATGAATAAATAAATATTCATTGTTTCGAACGATTTGTTATTTGTTTGACAAATTGAGATACGTAGGAAAAAAGAAAAAGCGATAATTTTATTTATCTCGAAAGGATACTCCGTTTCTAGAAAAAAAAAAAAAAAAAAAAAAAAAAAAAAGAAAAAAAAAACTATACATATATTGAAACACTCGATTGTTTCAATCGATCGATGCTATTTTGCTTGTAAAACATGGCTACTGTTTTCAGAAGAAGTTACGCCATTTTAATAAGAATTTTCAATAAAATACGTGGAAATAGATGCGAACAAGTTGCTTTACGATCTATCGGAACTCGTACTAGATGTGAAAATGATAGGAAGAGAATTCGTATATCTCTGGGTGTCCTCACAGGTGCAGCCACCACCTGTGGATCCGTTTTGTATTTCCTCGACAGCTCGGTCAAGGCCGCCGCCCTGCAAGCCATGCCACCGAGTTACCCCTGGAAGCTCGATGGTGTTTTCAGTTCTCTCGATCATAGTGCTGTACGAAGAGGGTGGCAAATTTATAAAGCAGTCTGTAGCGCTTGTCACAGTCTTGAATTCGTTCGCTTTATGGATTTGGTCGATGTGTCGCATACAAAAGAGGAAGCTGTTGCTATTGCAGCCGAATACGAAGTAAGATTTATCCGATCCTTAGACGAACGATAAATCTAGAAATCTATTTTTCCTTTATTTTATTTTTATTTTGTATTTTTTTCAAATAGATCGACGATGGACCAGACGAAGAAGGAAATTATTATAAAAGACCTGGAAGATTAGCCGATAGAATACCATTGCCATTCCCGAACGAGGAAGCAGCGAGAGCTGCCAATAACGGTGCTTATCCGCCGGATTTGAGCTACATGATAAATGCCAGACACAACGGACGAAATTATGTATTCTCTTTACTTACTGGCTTCATGGAGCCACCTGCTGGTATTACCTTAACGGAAACCCAACAATTCAATCCTTATTTTTCGGGAAGTGCTCTCTCAATGGCAGAGGTATTATTGCAACGAGAATATTTTTCGTTAATATTTCCATCTTAAAAACTGTTAATTTTCAGATGCTTCACGACGGCATCTTAGATTACGATGACGGCACACCAGCGACCAAATCCCAAATGTCAAAGGACATTGTAGAATTTCTTTCCTGGACGAGTTCGCAAGATCACGACAAGCGAAAACTTATGACCATAAAAACCATTGGAATTGGTATCATTACTTTGTTGGCGGTAGTGCATATGAAGAAAAGTACATGGACAACCGTAATAAATCAACGCATCTTCAATATATCCAAAGATAAATGCGAGTAGGAAAAAGAAAAAAAAAAAAAAGAGAAAAAAAAAAAAAACGTTTGCTCCTTCCTTCCTCTCTCAATAGAATTCTCGAACGATACGATCTTTGTAACTTAAGTGACTAGTTATAATAGTTTCTAACGATTGTACAGTGTATCATATGTAATTATCGTGTAATCAACGAAGCAAAACTAAAAAGAGGACAGACTAAGAAAATAAATTCGTATCTTTGTTTGTATCTATCTTCGTTTTTCTTATCTCATTGACTTCCCTTAGAATAGATTGTTCGTTTCTAAAGAGACGATCTCCTTCTTCTTAATCGTTGAATCACTTTTAACTAGACTCTTATCGAACGTTATTATCTTCTTCTATTACGGCGACCCTATTTTAAACGTATCGACGTCTATAAATCCTTGAAGCGTTTCGTTTAACAAATCACGCGAAATAAGGAACGGGTTTTCAAGCGGAGCTATTAACATTTTTCTCTTTCTCTCTCTCTCTCTCTCTCTTTCTTTTACAACACATCGAAACACTTGTTCGAGGACGAAAACGTTGGAACTTAGTAGACGTGTGGAAAATTCAAAGAGAATAGATTAATCGACCTCCTTTTTTCTTTCCTCTACAATCTTTCTCACTCTAACTTTGTCTATTTATCCATCACTCTGCATCTCTCTCTCTCTCTCCCTCTCTCTCTCTCTCTCTGGTAGAACTCTAAACGTGTGTCGTCGATAATCGTTTCGCAATGCGGCCTTGACGTTGCCGTATACTCGATCGGACCGGTTAAATATAGAAAGCTCGAGGAGGCAACAAACATTAACGACGTTTCTTACGAGTCGTTAACTCTACAGCTCTACGATCGGATGCTTCGTGATTCTATTTTGGTATGCTCCCTCTATCTATCCATCTCTCTTTCTCTTTCTCTTTCACGTTCTTTTTAAAGAACCACCCACGTGAAACGCGTCATTTTTTCGTCACATTCCTTTAAGCCAGCCAGTCGATATCGAAGCTTCGATAATAATTAGCCGAGTTCGTTTCGAACTTTGGCAGCGTGTCGATCTAGATATAGCAACAAGTGTGGCTACGTTAAAGAGAAAGATAGAAAGATAGATAGATAGATAAATAGATAAATAGATAGAGAGGAGAGAGGCGAGAGAGAGAGAGAGAAAGAGAGAGAAGAATAGTATACATGTTTATATGTACGTGTGCGTGTGTATGTGTATGTGTAAGGGTAAATCAAAAATATACGGAACGATGAATGAAACTCCTGACTGACGTCGGACTATCTGGCGCGCCAACGCGACATCAAACACAACACGCGAACGGATAGAACGTCGTTGAAGCGTCAACGTACTTGCTGCTTCATCAAATACGTTGCTGGACCGAGAGATGAGATGCTGAATCGACGACGACGACGGCGATAATGAAGATGAAGATAAAGATGATACTTTATGCATTTATGACTATAGAAGAAGGAATAAGAATAGTAGAATATTTATTTAATGAATAAGAGAGAGAGAGAGAGAGAGAGGAAACATCCAGTAAGTACGATGAGTTAACGTTTGAATGAATTACGGATTCAGCTTATTGACGTCAATAAAATGTTCCATTGCTCGTTATCTAACGAAATCCTTGCTTTTTCGATCATGCAAACTAAGAAAGAGAAGAAGGAATAAGGAGTAAGGAAGAGGAGGAGGAGGAAGAGGAGGAGGAAGGGGAGGAGGAAGAGGAGGAAGGAGTTTAGACCGCGACCGACACCGTTGCCAGACGCATCCGCATCCGAAAGGTTACGTCCGATTCTCGAAATAGAGGAACGCTCGGCAAAAATAGTTTCCCGCGTCTTCGATATATCGTCATCGCGAAATAGACTTGAGCCGGGACCGGAAGGCAGTGAAAACAACCAAAACGATCCTTCATATATACATGCATGCATACATATATAACATAATATAACATAACATAGGATATAAGAAAAGATGACAGTGATTGAATAATTTTGAACGTATAAAATTAGAAAGAACGATCGGAATTGACCAGATGACATCAATGCTCATTTTTCAATAACGTTCCTTAATAAAATCCATTCTTTAAATATACGACACGTAAATATAGCTGAAACAGAAAAAAAAAAAAGAAAAAAAAAAAAAAACACGAGAAAAAAGAAACAGAAAAAAACAAAAAAAAGAAAAAAAGAAAAAGAAAAAAAGAAACGAAGAAGTAAAAATAAAACGATGATTATAATGAGACGTTAACTAGTTGGATATTTTTAGTTTATGCGAATTAATTCATTCAATGGAAAAACGATGATGACTTTGAGCTGTCATCGAACGTGGCCGAATGCCCGCAGGAAATGAGAGAAACAGAGAAAGAAAGAGAGAAAGAGACGAAACGATCTAGAAGGCTCCTATTATAAAGTGCCTTCTGGCGCGTTTTGACAGCAAATTCCACCGACTTCCAGATGCGGAGGTGTCGGCCCGATAAATAAGCGAGCTTGCCGCGAGACGTAAGCGGTGAAATTTGCATTTCCCAAATTTCCTGGCAATCCTCGGTATGCCGAGCCTCGTTTCTTTGGCGTGAATCTCAAACTGCTAGCCTTTCAAACATACATATATATATATATATATATATATATATATATATATATGTCTGTCTCTGTTTCCCTTTCACCCTCCCTTTTCTTGGCTCTTTTTCGTCTCAATTCACGAAATTCATTAATGATCGACAAAATTGAAACTCTCTGTCGAAAGTGAAAATAGGAAAAAAGAAAAGAAAGGAAAAAAGGTTTTTGCTTTACTTTTTCTTTCTTTTTTTCTTTTTTTTTTTTTTTCGAGAAAAAAAAAATAAATTACATTTCTGACGACAAAAAATATGGGAATAAAAATAAAAAGAAAAAATAAATGTTTCATATAAGATTATATAAAAAAGAAAATAATATCTCGTTCGTTTCTCGAGGAGAGTACACTGAATTCTCCTCGGCACGAGCCACTCTCAACAACTTGGCACGACACTTTCGATTAATAATACTCGTAAATGTCTTCTGTTTCTCTCTCTCTCTCTCTCTCTTTCTTTCTTTCTTTCCCCCACTCCCTCTCTCATACGTATCGTCGATCACACGGACAAACGATTTATGATATATCATGTATGTGTTGTGTGTATATATAGATATATAGATATATCGAGAATGAAACGTATAACATTTCACATTTTATCTACAAACGTAGACAAATTTTTATCACAAAAGTGACTTACACGATAAATATAAAAAAAAAAAAAAAAAAAAAAAATCGAAAAAATATTCTTTATTAAAAATTATGATCAATTTATAATTAATGCGATGGTCAAAAGTTAACGTTATAATTAATTAAATTATACGATTTTCTCATTTTTTTTTTTTTTTAAATATTTTTATATAATATTTATTGTTAAAGAAATTTGATGATTAAGACGAGATATTTATGTATTACATTAAATTATCATTAATATTCACAAAAGTTGAACGACAAGATTCGCTTGACATTGAAAGTATCCATCCGGAAATTTTTTCCCTCCATCGATCGATCGATAAATCGTTCTATCCGTGGAACTCGTTACACATGACATTTTTCTTTCTTTTTTTTTTCCTCTTTTTTCCCTCTCTCTCTCTCTCTCTCTCTAAACTGAGGATAATCAAGAAGTAGTCGCATGTTTCCTAAGGACGCGATAATATCGTTTGCCTTCGAGTTGGTAGCTAATTAATGTCGCTCCTGAGACGAGAAGGACGTTATCGATTCTGTTAACATTCTCATATTTTTTTCTTATAGTTTAAACCGCGATGAAAAAAGTTCGAGAGAAATATATATATATATATATATATATATATATATATATATGTATATATATTTATATATATATAATGGATCGAAAAGATATTTTGGTATCTTTACCTTTTTGTTAAAATCGTGCTCGATCCAAAGGAAAGGTTGAACGATGATGGCCGTTGATCGATCGTCCGAACAAAATATCCATTCTACGTTATCGACTCACGCTGAAATTTAAAACATATATAATATTATTTTTCGATTATAAATTATTAAAACGAAAAAAGTCTTATGATCATGAGTAAACCTTGCGGAATTGTAAATTCTATAATTATCAATTATCAATTATAATTTCTATTATAATTTCTCATGAATGAAAGAATAACGAAAAATAAAGAATTAGAAATATAAAGAATAATACATAAAATAATGCTCATTTACAAATCGAATATTTCTCGTACGAGCTACGAATCGTTTAATAATGTTTCGCATATAAACGTACGTATAAATATAATGTACATTAGTTGTGAATAGTACACGAACATTACATACATATGTATGTATGTAAAATGAAAGAAAGAGAAATACAAATCGTTTCTTTTGAGCCAAACACGTTGGCATCGGTAAGTTGGTGCTTGTTCCTGAATCATTTCGAAGGATGTTGCATCGTAGCTTAGACATTTTTTCCTTCCGTTCTCCCCATCCCCCATCCAACCCTTACCACCTATAAAACGCATTTGAGTTTATGTTTGGCACCACAAGAAAGACGGAAGTTTCTTCCTCTTCCTCTTCCTTCTCTTCTCCATCTTCTTCTTCTTCTTCTTGTCGTTTGAATATAATTACGTTCGTATATCGGCCAAAGTGCCAACCAATCGCAAAAACGAGTAACGATAAGAAAAAAAATATTTTATTCTCAATATTATAGATAAGTACATATATCGTGTACGGATTATAGATAATAAGATTAAGGAAAGAATGTTCAATTTAATCATGTTTATAACAAATATTTGTTGATATACATACGTATATTAAATAGAACGTTATGTTATGTTAAAAGTAGCACGTATATTATTTCATTAACTTTTAAATATTAATATAAAAAAAAGAAAGAAAGAAAGAAAAAAAAATTCGTATCAAGTCAAAAATGATATTCCATTGGGATCGAATCGATCGTTCTAGAATCGTCGCCTAGATAAATCAGGATAAAATGGGGATAAACGGAGTGGAAAGTGTCTTGACAACGCACACCCATGTGTATGTGTATGTGTATATGTATGTGTCTCTCTCTCTCTCTCTATAATCGTCGGGATATTCCTAGCCTATTTATGCACGACGACGACGACGACGACGACGACGACGACGACGACGACGACGACGACAAATAAAACTCGTTCGAGCACGAAAGCAACCCCCTTAAAATTCTCGTTCTTCGTGAAAACTCGAAATCTATATCTATTTGCCAAGAAGAATTTATAAAGAAGAAACATATTGAAACGGAGATATATATATATATATATATATATATATATATATATATATATGTATGAATACGTAAAATCAATTTGTTTCTCGTCGGTTTCCTTCGTCCTTTTTTTCTCCTTTTTCCTATCATTTTTTCTTCCCCTCCCTTCGTTTCTTTCCTTTTTCCAAAAGAGTCACGACAACGACAAGAAAACCAAGAGTATCTATTCTAATCTATTAACGATACGGGTATTTCCAGTTTTCGATCAGCGAGAATAGCGAGCTTGTAAATGTTGCTGCTAGGCAGGATTATAAACGCTTAGCATGACCTGGCCGCGATAAATGAATTATCGATGGACATACGAAGTAGTACCTATTTACGGACTATATCACCTGAACACGTATACATCTATATCAACGATTTGCGTTCAATCATTTGATTCAGATGATTCATTTCTTTTCACTGTCGTATCCATATCGTATCCAAGGATATATACGTTAATAAAGCATTTTACATACACACATATATATATATCTATATATGCCAAGATGATCGAAGAAAAACAATTGCGTTTTGCTATAAAATTATGTATACACTTTAAACGCGATACGAACTAATAATATATCAAATATATACGATTGTTACTGTTCATTTTTTTATTTTAATTGTTACTGTTGTTGTTTCTTTATCTTTTTTGTATTCATTTATTCATCTGTCTTTATAACTTTTTTTTTTTTTTTTTTTTTTTTTTAATTTCTTTCCCCCCTCCTTTTTCTCTCTTCTTTCTTTTTTTTTCCTTCATTGTTGTCATCCGTCACTGGCCTCGGCATTGTTTTCATATCGTACGTTCATATGTACGATTGCACGGAAACGAGGCTTATGTTTACACTACCACACATTCCTATCAATCATGACGTAATCTTCGTGTTGTATTTTTACCTTAAATACTATTCCTAACGAAATGCGTAATTACATACGTCAAACAACCGGTATTACATTCGTATCGCTATTACAACACGCTTATTATTATTATTATTATTATTTTTATTTTGATTATTATTATGACTGTTACTACACTACTACTACTACTACTACTACTACTACTACTACTACTACTACTACTACTACTACTACCTACTACTACTACTACTATTATTATTATTATTATTATTATTATTATTATTAATATCATTACTATCACGACTTTTTCTCTATGTATATATTTCTCTTTGTTTATTGACATTTATATGAAATGCTATATAATGTGATATAATCGTACGTGAGAGTATACATTACGAATCCCGATATCGATTTATCTATTTATCGAGATGTACGAATATTAACTGAGGTCGCTGATTTTAAAACAAAACAAAACAAAAGAGAAAAAAAAAACAACAAAAAAAGAAAAAGAAAGGAAAGCAAAAAATGCCGAAGATAAAAGATTCGAACGTAAGATGATTCTTCGATGAGAACGAAGTAGATTTGTTCGATGGTCAAACGAAAGTAAAGAAATGAATGGAGAATAAAGTAAGATACAACAGTTGGTTGTTACAAAGTATTATAACCACGTTCACCATCGAACTCACCTTACGTTGCAAGCTGCCACACCTTCGTGTTCGAAAACACGATTCGTACTTCTGATTCTCACTTCTCTCTTTCTCTTTCTTCATTTTTAAATATTTTTATTCGAACTAATCATACTTTACTTTCGAATGGTATCGCTGTCGTTGCGAAAAATTCGAACGATGCAAGTCACAGATCACAGAAAAAACAAAGCACCGGATGTTGCTTGGATATCTCATGCAGAGAGTGAGAGAGAGAGAGAGAGAGAGAGAGAGAGAGAGAGAGAGAGAGAAAGAGAGATATAGACACGTTTCGAGACGCGAGCCATTCTCTGAGTACACGCGCGCGCGCTCCAACGCAAGAGGGATGGAGATAGGAATGGCGGGGAAGAAGAGGAAGGACATAAAAACAATGCGATCATAATGGTTACATTCTTGCAAGAACAAGAGAGAAATTTTCTTCCTTACCTTGTCCATGAAGTTTTTACTATCACCGAAAATAAAACAACGGACAAACGTAATTCCATCGCACTTCTCTTTCTATCACGAGATTGTCTCCTGATAGTTCCCGGGACACGATTATTACGTATGTTCTCGAGTGTTTACGAGCTCGAAAGCCAATACAGAAACAACGCGCGACGTAAACGAAACGAAATAGATGACGATAACGATGATTCTTTAGCGTCAACCAAAGTATCACTCGATGTACCGCAAAACGAGAAAGCGCCATCTATTGGACAACTACTAATTCCCTTATACCGAATACCGTATGGTATTCGATTATATACAATATTTCCTCCAATTAGAGAACAGTTCTTATTTACGCGCGTTGATTTGAATTTTCTAATACGTATCGTCGTAAAATTCGTATCTCGTTTGTAGATTTTTTAATCTATATATATATATATATATCAAAATTGTTTTTAATTATTTTAAAAATGAGATTACGAGAATTACGTGATTATATAAACGATAGATATTATCGTGAACGAAACGCTATCAATTTCTTCCTTATCGTTTACCTTGAAATAAATGGCGTCGCTAGTAGCAAATGCATATATGTATTATGGTTATATATATATTTTTGAATTGATCATGGTGTCGTCATCTTACAATACTACTTTGACTTTTGACATATGTGCCTCTCTTTGTTTGATAGAGTTGTAATTTTTAAAAAATTATATTGAACAGTAACGACAAGAGGTTATGATAGATAAGAACATACGATAAATTTTATCGAGAATTTCCTAGACTCGTTAAGATTAGTTCACTAAAGTAAAAACGTAATATGGTCAGTTTTTTAAGAACGAACCTTTAAGTCGAGTTCCTTTTCCGTTATTGTTGTTGTTTTTTTTTCCAGTTTCAACACGTGAGTAATACTTTATACTTCATTCGTTAATTCAACGAGAATATTCTACGACGTATATATGTACGGTTTATAATTTTCATATTAGCATGTTGACATGGAATGCAATTTATGTTTGATATTACATTTATAATTTACGATGATTATTATTTTTCGTTTTTTTTTTTTTTTTTTTTTTTTTTTTGTTCTCTCTTTTTATCAAAGTCTCATTCAAATTATTTGCAGACGATGTCTTGGTTTTTTGGCAAAAAGAAACATCAGAAGGAATCACCAGTTGAATCGACTGAAGATCTTACATCTACTAGCATAGAAAATGAATTTGAAAATATTGAAAGACAAATGTATCCTGTACCTCAAAATTCTCAGGATGGAATACCTTATCCTGGTGGTGGCTTATATCCAGTCATAAATGATGCTTCAACTTATCCTACACTACCTACAAATTCAACTAAACAAAATCAGCAAGGGGATATGCAACATTATTTAAGTGGAGTACCATTCAAATTATGTAAACAATTGGAGAGTAATATGAATGATTTTGAGATTGATAGGTTACGTGCAAATGAAATTTTATCTTTTATCCAAAGAATAGAGGAGCAAAATTTAGATTATGATTTTTCACATGAAAAGAGTGTCATTACGGAAATGAATAGCACTAATGATGAGTAATCAATAAATGTTATCTAAATATTTATAGGCAAAAAGCGATTTTGTTTTCTAAATATATAAAACAGATAAAATATCGTTTATCTATTATTACATATGTTATAATGAATTTTGATATTTCAATATTGTTTAGAGAATACACGTTAACTTAAATGTAATTGGTTTGTTTTTTTTTTCTTTTGTATATTTATTGCTTATATGTAATTATGATGTAATAGTTTGTGAATTTGGAATAGATAAATTTCCAGGTATATGGCTCTATTAAATATAATTAAAATAGTTTTAATTAGTGACAATGTATATCTTAGGAAATGTTGACAAAAAAAGTATTAACATATTAATCATATGTTTAAACCATATTTCTGCTGCCAAGCTTGCAATGTATAATGATACTTATATTTCCTTACGTGCTCAGGAAGAAACTTGTAGGCAGATACATGACACAAACTGTGCACAAGGACATATTCTTGATATTTAATAGTTATATAAACAGCATGAGTGTCATTGTAAATATTGTTTACAAGTTGTATATTTATCATTGTTGATGATGATTAAATGCCATTACTTAATGTAATCAAATACATATAAAATATTAAAAAATTATTTTAAAATAAACTATTAGCTTGTTGCAAAGAATTTAATTATTAACCGTAATATTAGATAAAAAGGAATATTTTGAGAAAAGTGTTAAGTATTAACATTTTAGTATTTAACTTACTGCAGCCATAAAACTTTCAGAAATAAATATTATACATACATATTTACACATATACTTTTTTGTAGTTTGATATTAATTACTTGCGAGTGTACTAAAAAATGTAATAAAAGAATTACAAATCCTTATTCACAATTCTGGCATTTCTATAAAATTCTATATATAACAAAATTACTAACATTTATTGTTATTTATCAATGTTATTGTAATTATAATTATAAATATAAATTATAAATTAAAAACCATATCGAGAATCATTATAATGATGACAAGTATAAAAAATGGCAACCAATTTTTGAGAAAACCATAAAAACTGTAATAATAAAAATAGTTTATTAAAATTTATAAATTGAATAATATCTATTACTATTATTAATGGTATTTAAATATTTAATACTCACTTTACATATTTTCCTTTTACCAAAATAAAAGCTGCTAGTTTTACCATGTTCCAGTTTGTAGAATTATCATAAGCCATTAAGTTTAAAGCTTTTGCAACATGTGAGTGACAATTATCGAAGAATAAATTATGCTAAAAGATCGATTAAATGTAATTTGATAATAAACAATAAAGAAGACTGATGAATTTAAATTTATTTACCATCCTGGTTTTATAAATTTCACTGGCCTCTGATACAGCCATATCCCATCCTTGCACACCACCTTTCGCTTTTGTATATTGAAGTTGCCAATATTTAATGGGTTTACCAAATGCCATATGATCTTCAGCTACATGATAAGGACCAGCAAAATCCCTGATTACACCAGTCGATGTGCAAATTCCCATATGACCAATAAATGGTATTAAATAACTGCGTAATTAAAGTCATAAGAAATAATTTTTTTTTTAAATGCAACAAACGCTTAATTAGATGTGACTAATATATTATGATTATTATTATTGCATAATTATAAAAAATATTGTATTGAATTTATTATTCACCTTATTCATTTCATTCAACATTAATAGATATTGTAATCGATTAAGAATAGAGAACAATGATATATTAAAGATTACATTGTAATAGAAAATTAAATGTTTAATATAAATATTGAAGGTTAAGTTTCTATCGTAAGATAACTCACGTTATAATAGGCAATGGAGTCCAAACAATGCAAAAGGGAAATCTCTGCCTTTCTGGATTTATAGTGAGATCCATTTCTGGCGAACTTGGGGTGGATTCGGATATTACATTCGTCAACAAATCAGGATTCATTATAGTTTACTACGACCTGACGTTTAAACGACGTAAGCCAGCCATGAATCCTCGCGCGGTATATTCAATACTAAAGTTAAATTCTTTTAGATCATAATAAAAGTTGAAGGATGTTTATCTGTTAGTTGGATTGTACGGTTGGAATTTTTTTTCTTTTTCTTTTTTTCTTTTTTTTTTTCTCAATATTTCAAATTTATCATTTCTACTTTTCGAAAACGAATACAGATATTATATACAGATATAGATTCTACGTTATCGCATGTCACCTATCTCTCTTTGTGAAAAATAAATTCATTAATGTTTCTTTTACTCGTTAGATAAATATCAAAGTTCATAATTCTTACATAAGTGAAATCGATTTTCAATGAAAGAACGTTTCTAATCAATGTTCATCCATCCCGGCGCTTATTTCGACATTTTTTTCTTTATATACATATTTAATATCTAACTTGTTACGTAGGGCTATATACCATTATGTTATACTGACGATAAAACTGCTAGAGAAGAGTATGTTAGTCGCACAGAAGATGCCGTAAAAATGCTTTATACCCTAATAGGACAGTACGTAACAGAATTGCGAGCTAACGAAATTATATGCAATCATGTTGGGTTTCTTGCCGAGCAGAACGTTTCTTTCCGTTGGACGAATATGTATCAAGCTCGATATGGTAAGTATTAAATTTATTTTATTACAATTTATTAAGTCTTCGAAGAATGAAAATTTTTGTACGAATTTTAAAAGATCATTCGCGCGCGTAAACGAAACCCCGGGAAATTCGAATAGAAATATTTGACGAGAAGCAAATTTTATCGATCGTTCTCTTTGATATTCTCCTTTTTCTTTTCTTTCCTTTTTCTTTCTTTTTTTTTCTCTCTAATTAAAGTGACAATCATCATATTCTGCTGGTTCACCGTGATTTACGGTAACGTTGTGAGGAATGAGGATATTTGTGGAACACACAATGGCAGGCGTTTATATCTTGAATTAGGCGAAAAGGGTATTCTTTATGCTAAAAATGTATCCTTTATAAAAAATGAACCTAGACAACAGACATCAAGAATTTATGCGACAAATAGTTCCCATGATCAATGCAGTCTCGAATTAGTAACCTGTCCGTCATGCGTTATAATAGTTACATTCAAGAATATTGCATTGTCGCATCATTGCGGCGATGGTGGTGTTATGATGGATAATCCATGCAGGTATAGAGATGATATTTAAATTGATGATTTTCATTGATTATTCTTTTTATTCTTTTTTTCAACGACAAACATTTCTCTATACCAACGAATGATCCACAGATGTGATTACGTTTGGATTTCCGAGCCACCATATGAAGACGTTTCAGGTACACCTTACTGTGGTTTATATTCACCTATCATGTACAGATCGAGTACCAGAACGCTATCTATTACTTTGCTCTACAGTCAATCGCATAAGCATGCTTTTACGCTGGAATATACGGCCGAAAGTAAGTGCTAAGGATCTGTAAAAGTAATCTATCCTATTATAAAATAATATCTTCGTTAAAGAGATCTAATATATATTTTTTTTTTCATCCCCAGGAAACAGACTACATCTTAAAGGAACGGAAATGATGACATCAGTTACGAAAGGTCTGAATAGTACAGGTGGAGGTATTCTTACGTCACCATTTTTTCCGGCTCGATATCCACGAGATTTAGGTTTGGAATACCTAATAACATGTCCCTCCGAAGCTCCATCATGTCGGGTCAGATTGTTGTTCAGCGATTTCCAATTAGCTACGGTTTCTATCATGGAAGTACGTAAAGTACTTCCTATGTACTAAGTATTTTTCGTTGGACATTGAAATTGTTCGATCTTAAAGTTGCATGTTTTTTTATATTTCATGTGTCCGTAGTTTTACGATTGGAACGGTCAACGACTTGATGTCAGCAGTGGTGCAAGATTTCGTCCACCGGTGATAGTAAGTTCCGGACCCTCTCTTTTGATAAGATTCTACGCTAATGGTGGTACCGGCCTGGGATATAAAGCCTTTTATTCCTTCGTTATCGGTCATCTTTACGACAAGTCAATTCATCCTATAACAGATTGTGGAGGATACGTGGAAAATTTGGGTGGGGCTATCACTATGATGGACATGGTAGGTCAAGGTGTAAAAACTTACGATTGCGTGTGGCTTATCAGACCACCTAAAAATTTTCTTCACATGAAGACTCATATGTATTTAAAAGTGGTTACCTTTGCAGACATGGGTAAGACATTTGAAATCCAATCTGATTTATTCTAATATTGAGTATTCTAAAAAAAAATTACTTGACAGCTGGAAACACGGAATTGACTATAAAGCAAGGACCAACATCAGCTCTTTTACCTTTGGAAGTTTTAAGACATCCTGTGAGCCAATTACAACCACTTAGACACAGAGAACACATAGCTCCTGTTACCAGTGGATTTCACGTGAGCCTTCGTGGTACTTTTGGTTCTACATCGCATCTAGCTATAGCTTACACGGCCTTCAGTTACATGGGTATGTTTATTTCGATTTCTCGAATACGAAGGAAACGAGAAAAAAGGAAGAAGATAAATATCGATTAATTTTATAATAAATAGATTGCTTTACGGGCTCCGACTTTCTGTGCCAAAATCACAGATGCATACCGAGCCAACTTAATTGTGATGGATTCGATCATTGCGGAGACAACAGTGACGAACCGGCTACATGTTACAGAGGTAACGTTGACTCTGGTTAGATCCGGTTATATCTTTCAAACTAATACCAATTTTTTCCAAATATAATCGTTTGCTTATAGATTGGGACGTTGAACCACAGGATAGAAAATGGCACACGAATAAAGCGAATTATTATTTCCCAAAGATCGATCGTTACCCTGATTTAAAAACAGCTACATTGGTCTTCGTTGCGAGTAGCCTTGGCTTGATAGTTCTGATATCGGCCCTTATTATATTGTTATACAGAATGGGTGCCAGAGCTAGACAACAGAGAGAACTACAATCACGTTTACAGACTATCAGTGAGCTCCTAGGTACGTGTTTGATAATTACCAAGGAGAAATAGATTATCATTTATGTTACTTCGAGCAGTCTTTGACATTACAGATGGAGCAAGGATCGATGAAATCTCAGTGACGGATGATCCACCGGTTTACGAAGCACCCCCTGGATACGACGAAGTTGTCAAATTGAGCTTAGAATCCGACAGTAATAGACGAAAGAAGAGAAGTTTCAGTTGCGAGCCACGAAGTAGAAGTTCGCCAAGTCGATGTTCGTGAGTTTGTCGTCGTCTTTTTGAGTTCGTTCTTGTCTTGCCTGACATTTCACGTTTAACGTTTCATTTCTTACGTTTATATTCGAGACACGAGCAAGAGCCACAGTCATCCATGTATCTAGTAGTAGAGGGAGCCAGTACAAGTCATTGTAGTCAAACAACGAGCTCTACTACGAGGAATCCAAAAGTTCCCGAGAGTCCACCACCACCGTACGTTACTCCTCCGGGATCAATCGGGAGAAGTCTTAATATTTCAGAGATACCTTCCTCTTCTTCTACGGGATCGGGTAAGCTATATATTAAAAGTTGACAAATTGAAAAGCTAATTGAACGAATTAATGATTAAATAATGGATATATAGGAGAAATTGAGATTATTGGAAGAAAAAGATGTCGCCGTGCCTGGTTACGAAAAAGTTGTGACTTCTCTCGATCCCAGCCATCTAATAACGAGAATGAAATAGCACAGATGAAAAATCCTTCTTCATCGCTCGACGCTGAAGTCCTCGGTGCGTATCTTCAGGACTACATTGCTTCGTGTCCGAGCTGCGCGACCGATTACTCTGCTCCACAGCCGAACAGCTCTCAGAATGCATCGATCGACATCAACGGAGACTCGCAGGAGACAGGAGAAGGCGTAGGAACAG